TCATTGGAAAGGTGATGTTCTTGGCTGCCGTAGCAAGACCACACATTTCACTTGGAGGACAAGTTTTATGGGATGGTAAAATTGGAATTTTTGCCTTCACAGAAGTTGTTTATGCTCATAGAAGATCTGCTAATAGGAGTGCTGGCACTCCAGAGACTAAAGCAATTCAAAGTGTTACAAAAGAAATTATTAAGGCCAAACTGATTTTTTCAGTCTTACCAGCTATAAGGAAATAAGTGGCCTTCTAATGCATGCAAGGATATCTGGATTCAACAAGATAATGCTAGGCCTCATGTTAGTGTGCATGATGAACAATTTACTGAAGCTTCTACTGCATTTGGGTTCAATAACAGACTAACATGTCAGCCCGCCCAAAGCCCAGATTTGAACATACTCGATCTTGGATTTTTTAGAGCTATTTAATCAATTCAACATCAAGCTTTTCCTAAAAATGTGGATGAACTAGTGACTGCAGTCCAAGATGCATTTTATGAGTTTGAGCCAAAACTACTCAACTATACTTGGTTGCATCTTCAATATATTATGCTAGAAGTTCTAAAAGTTAAAGGTGGCAACAACAACAAGAACCCCCATAGAGGAAAAAGAAAGTTGGATTACATGGGGCTACTACCAAAACAAATTGTTGTTCCTGATGATATAATTGAAGAAACTTTAGAGTACCTTGTGGAGGGTGAAATTCATTTTAGTGTACGTGTTGGCCTGGCTCAACCAATACAAATACACTTAATTGAATTTTACTCTAATGCAATGGAGTATAAATCTGCCTTCTTAAGTATTTTTGGAACAACCTTTTGTAAAGGTAATTTAGTTTTGGTAGCCTACTTTTGAAATGTGTATGAAAGCCAGATCTGCAGTTAGTATTTAAAGTACATTTTGTAACTGCAGTTAGTATGTGAAGGCAAGTAACATTTTGTAAAGGTAGTAAGTTTGTGAAGGCGGATAGTGGTATTATTTTGTATAAAAGTATAGTTTTGGCAGCCTAAAGTTGAAGTATGTGATGAAGGAAACAAAATGTCTGAATTAGTTCTTTGGGTACTAGTTTTATAATGGCAGTTTAAAGTTTTTAAACATTTGGAAAAATTCCAAAGTAATGTTAAAGTTAGCACTAAAAACTAAGTATTGCATTTGAAGAACCATATTACATTTGCTGAACGTAATTTGAAATTGCAGCAGGTACCTATTAGGCAATTAAGAAACAAAATTCTATAGAAATGCTCTATTAACTTGTTTTTTTTTTCTTTCTGTTTTATTGCATCAAACTTTGTATCATACATATAGGGCAAACATTTTAACACTTCTACTTAAACTTACAGAAAAACTTAAACAGAGTAAAAAAAATCAATTGGGCTTACAAAAAACTTACAGGGCAAACATTTTAACACTTCTAATTAAACAAAACATAAGCAGGGCAAAAAACATCAATTGGGTTGTAAGTGCTACACTACTGAAGATGTTTTATCTCAAACTTTTAGGCCTGCCCACAAGTAGCCCTCAATTGGTGGAATCTCCAAGGCCTAAGTTAAGCTAACCTTAAGAATAAATTGAACTTGCATCATGAATGAAAAAGATACTCCAATACAAACAATTAAGAGTAAATTTCCATAACAAAGTCCAATTAAGACATACTCCTGGAGCATGTTTGGTTATTTCTTTTAAAAATTGAGCATACTGGTTGCCAAGACATAGTGGTAAGGAAGTTTTGCATAACAAAGTCCAATTATAGTGAATTTCCATAACAATGTCCAATTAAGACATACTGGTTCTCATAACAAATTGAGCTTTGTTAAGACATACTCCATTTCTATGCATCCAATAGATAGTAAACATCATTTCTTTTAAAAATTGAGACTCAGAGCATAAATTTACTCCAATTTTTTTAAAAATTTACTCAGAGCTTTGTTAAGACACTTCATTTCTACGCATCCATATATTACTCATAGTAAACCAAGTTTACTCCACTTGTATCAAGAACTAACCCCAGGTAAAAACATTATTTTGCACAACCCAAAATTTAGAGCATACAAATTATTCAAAAAAAGATTGCCAAATTATATAGAGATAACTAGGTAAATTACCTTTGGGACAACCCTCTTTGTCTTTAAACTGGTCTGGCCAAAGTATCTCAAAAAAGCTCATCATCCGCTTGGTCTTGAGACCGAAAATGGGATGATAGACCATCGTGTCCTCAGGAATCACAGTCATCGGCAACTGGTTTTATTTCTTGTAATTGTTGTTGAACGTTCAGCCCCCCAAGCAGCAATAACATGAGGAGGAGTGTCCGGAACCACCAAATCACTGTATGGAGCCACAAAATCATGAGGAGGAGTGTCTGGAACCACCAAATCAATGTATGGAACCATCGAGTTGCGAGGAGGGGTAGTCGAAGCTAATAGGAGAGCTTCATCCAGATCCATCTTCGTTTTTTCCCGAAGAAGATGTTAGCGTAAGGGAGAGAAGAAGTCGGAATATGAAGTGAAGAAATTAGAAGTGGGTGGATAAAATTAAAAGAAAGGAGCGGAAATCAAGTTAATAAAAGAGAGGTGGTGGGTGTGAATTAATTGAGGACAATAAAGACATTTGCACACCATTTTATGTCTTAAAATGGAAGGGTTGCAATTATTTTGAAACTTCCCAAAAAGGAAAGTGTTGGAACTAAAAAAGAACGGGGGAGTATATGAAAGGGTTAATTGTAGACATAACTACAAACATGAATAAGAAAGAAAAGCGATATATGTAAAGTAGTTTAGCGCATTAGCACCCACAACAAGTAGCAAATAAAAGAAAGTTTGTACTTTGAAAAAACCATCGTTTTTTTCTCAAATATATATATTTCACTCAAAAATATTCATAAAGCCAAAAAAAAACATTAAGTATATAAATGAAATGACAAAAGGGAGAAACAACCAAAGCTGTCTGATTAGAGACAATCATGTGAAGAGTACGTTTTTCTCCGAACCCATGCTAAAGAATCATTATGGAGAAAGACAGGGATGAATAAACAACGGAATGCTAAACATACAGTGACGAAACAAATCATTAATAATGTTTCCTGATTATAAGAAAACAATCACATGATTATCGAAATCAACCAGTCAGGAGGTGAAATGACTGAAAGGGGCTCAAGCAACGAAAATCATTCAGGAGAAAGACAAGGATAATCAATGAAATGATAAACATACAGTGTGGCGAAACCGGTAGAGAAACAAATAATTGATGGCATTTCCGATTTATAATGAAACAATCACATGATTATCGAAATCATCCGGTTAGGAGAATGAAATGACCGAAAGGGGCTTAGGCATTGAAAACCATTACGCAGAAAGACACTACAAAAAACAATGAAATTGGCTCGGATTTGGCATAGATCTTTGGCACGGTTTTGTCAAAATTCATAGGGTATTTGGCACGGATTTGGCACGGATACTTAAAATCCGTGCCAAATTCAGTGTCAATGCCATTTTGGAACAAGCTATTTGGCACGACACTGTTTCAAAAACATGTTATGATCCGTGCCAAACACAGTCAATCCATGCCAATGCCGTGTCAATATTTTTGTTTTCTTGAAGTGAGACAATGATAACCATCAAAATGCTCAGAGTGATAAAGCAAATCATTAACAACATTTCCGAATTTTAAGGAACCAATATGATTATCGAAATCAACCAGTTAAATAGAATAAAATAAGTGAAAGGGTTTAGGAAATGAAAACTTTTAAGGTGAAAGCCAAAGATGAACAATAAAATACTAAACGGACAGTGAGACAAAAACTATTAAGGAGAAAGGCAAAGATAAACTATAAAATGCTAAATAGACAGTGTGACGAATCGAGTAAGGAAGAAAGCATTAATGCCGTTTCCAGTTTTCAAGAGAACAATTACATGATTATTGAAATCAACCGGTTAGGAGAATGGAATGACCCGAAAGGGGCTTAGACAATGAAAGCATTGCATAAAATAGAAGGATAAACAATAGAATGCTAAATATATAGTCTGACGAAACATATAGAGAATGAAATGACCGAAAGGGGCTTTAGCAGTGAAAAATGTAAAAAAGTAATCTAACAATTCAAATTTATTCCTATTTATCTTCTTATATACTATTCTCATTTAAAGATGAACGTTAAAAGACATAATTTTCATACGTAGATTGTTCAGCTCATCCAATATGATAGTAAGGATGAAACTATCATTCATGTATTCATAGATAAATAAATTTTTCATATTTTTTGTGAGCAAAATTTATAGTCAAATACGGAGTATGAGATTGTTTAACACCAAATTTACCAAATCTAAATATAAATATAAAACATTTAGACTTATTGAAGTTCTATAAAATTATCAAAAAAAGTCAAAAATAAACAATATGATAACTTTTTGGGAAAATGTGCAAATAGACCCATGTACTAACAAAAAAAGGTCAAATAAGCCCTTATTTAGGAGGTTCTGTCCGGCCGTCGTCATTTGGAGTGGTTCCCGGTGGAATTTTTTGATGAAATTTTTTGATCATCTTATTCATGAAGTCTAGTTTACTCATACCAAATTTCAGCTAAAACTTCAATCGGGAAGGCATTCAAATGAATTCTTGAAAATAACTGTGCAATTAAAAGCGCAGTTATCTTCAAGAATTCATTTGAATGCCTTCCCGATTGAAGTTTTAGGTGAAATTTGGTATGAGTAAACTAGACTTCATGAATAAGATGATCAAAAAATTTCACCGGGAACCACTCCAAATGACGACGGCCGGACAGAACCTCCTAAATAAGGGCTTATTTGACCTTTTTTTTTTGTTAGTACATAGACCTATTTGCACCTTTTTCATAACTTTTTTTGTCCAATACGGTGCATCTCTTACTTTTCTACGGAGTATTACATTAATCTATATTAGTTCTCATAATAGAACATAATTTTCAATTTTTTGAGTTCTCTTTTTCTAATTTTATGATTTTTATTCATGCCACTCCTGTGCTTGACGGTAGGTGATGGAAACCCGGATTTGTGCGCTCAAAATTAACCAGATTTGAGAAACCCACAACACATCCGTTATACGGAGGAGACTACTGGTTTCGACTCGTTCCTTTTGGTCAAAATAGCAAAGCAAATGGATCGCTGAGGAGGAAGAGAGAGATTAGGATTAGTCGGCGTGCATCTCCGGCCACAAGCTCTCCCAGAGACACATCAAAATTGAGACTTTGTCTTTTCCGCGTTCCCTAGTTGCACCATATTAACTGTATGCCTACCGAAAGTCTATGTAAATTCTGGGAATTTTAGCTGCTTGATTTAGTTTTGTTCTGGTCATAATTGACTTGGATCAATATATTGGACCTGTGTTGTGACTTAATTTTCACTGGATTAGAGTTTTTTCCCGGCGAGTTAATTCTTTTTGCTGGATGATTAACTAGCTATTTGGGCGACCTGGTATTTTATTGCCTCCATCAGCAGGAAGGTAGGGGGTGATAATGGATTTGGTTGCTAGCTGCAAGGTATTGATTTGTTTGGTCTATCATCTGGTTTCCTTTTGTATAATAAACACCCATTTTTACTGCTACTGATCCTTTGGTGGATTCCATAGTGTTTCTTGTGATGTCTAGCTTCTGCTGCTCGTGTTTAGCAAATTTGATTTTTTGGATATATTGCTGAAACAAGTTTATTTCAACATTTGGTGAGCTGAGTACATTCATAACAACAATATTTTAGTAAGGCATAAGCTTATTTTAACCTTTGGTGAACTGAGTCCATTGACCATTCCACAACAACAATATTGTAGTGCGGCTATGTGCTCCCATTTCATCTATATATTATTAATTGTTAGTTTCATCTGCGCTATCTAAATCATAGGCAAGTAACCACTTCTTGATGTCATGGGTTTCACTTGTATTTTTATATCAGTGAAAAGAACAGGTTCATTCTACGGTAAATTGGTAAAATCATATTATTGTTCAAGTAAAAGAGTGATAACCGGTTTTACAATTGAATAAGATCTGAAGCCCCTTAATATGAACTAGTCAAAAGTTTTCATATGTGCATGATTTTTGTGCTTAGGGAATTGTTGGTTTTATCGTTTCATGTGTGAGACTGGGTGTGGTCATTAATGATTAGGAAATACTGAAAAATTGACCTTAAATACATTCTAGGAATTGAATGCAACAATTTCCCTCAGCAGTTTTTAAGAACTTATGCTCTTTTTACTTCATGATGATCTCTCTCACAAGGAGTATCCTTCATTGGTTTCTTGTTGTCAAACATTTAAAAACAAATTCATCCATAGGAAGTATTCATAAATGCTTATATGATTCCTTGCAGGACAAGCTAGCTTATTTCCGGATAAAGGAACTCAAGGATGCTCTCACTCAACTTGGTCTTTCAAAACAAGGAAAGAAGCAGGTATTGGGATTTTCCATTCTCTTCATTAGCTCCCTCATTCCTGAACATTATAATATGTCATCACTCCTCATAATCCTCTTGTAATGGGCTGTATTTCCAATGCTGTATAAATCATTAGGTAATGGGTTCAAGACAAACATGTAAAACCCTTGAGTTCTACATAAACATTAGGTGACGGGTTTGAGACAAGCATGTAAAATTGATAGTTATCGTGGCTAGTCTCTAGATAAATATATCATGTTTGAGCACAGCATGTCTACATTGGTTCTAACAAGGTGGTATTGCTCGTTGACATCTGTATTTGGCTTTCTGTAGAACCTTGTTGACCGACTACTAGCTGAACTGTCGGATGAATCAGGTAAGGGAATTTGACTTCTTCTGTTTTGATTTCAGTTGTTGTGTTAGATGTAAAAGTTTCTTAGGTAGTAGCTCTTTTTGTGGCTCCATAGTAAATAGTAATTGTGGATATCATTGCTTTTGTACTGTCTTCTTGTGTAGTGTATGTTTGGTGAAGGTTTTAATGCTTTAAGCATCATTTTTATCATACAAGAGCCTGGATGTGAGGTTCTGAAGCTTTTATTCACTTCATGTCATGCTTTTGTTATGAACCAGAATTTCAAGTTCTTCAATTTATGGAATGTTGAAGTGTTAGATATTTTTTGTTCAGCACTGATTGTCATTGCCTTTCAAAAGTTTTTTTAGCATCATTTCCTTCTAGTAACTTTAGTTACATCTATTAATTTTTGAGCGCCATCCATGCTCTGCTCGCTTTTCCACTCTAATTACGTGATAAATTTTTATGCCTTTGTGCAGGAACTTTTGCAAAGAAAAATTCTGTTCGCAAGGAAGAAGTTGCAAAACTTGTGGATGACATTTATAGGTGTGCTGCAGCTCTCTTTAAAGTGTGATTTTTCTAATAAAATAGTACTATGCATTATGTAATTGGTATTAATGGGTGAAAAATATGGGTTTACTTGTGCTGTTGTGCCTTACTAGAATGGTTAACTAAGACTCAATAATGTACACATGCTCAAATTTTGTAATTGATTTGCTAAAGTAATGATTAAGATGAACTAAAATATTATTTACAGTTTGCTGCAGAAGGGTAAACCTTTTCTGTGAGATCTTTTTACATAACATGTATTTTGACTGTAAAGCCCCCCCCCCCCCCCCCCTTGAACTGCTAATTATGCTCATAACAATAAGTGGTGCTCTGTACTCTGATCATTTCAGGCTGTGTCCAACAATTCCTTTCTGTTTGCAGGAAAATGCAGGGTTGTGGTGCATCTGACTTGGCATCAAAATCACAGGGAGTCTCAGCTCCTTCAGATAGCAGCAATGTCATGTTAAATGAAGAGATAGAAGATGCTCACCAGATTGATAAGATACGTTGCCCGTGTGGAAGTTCCTTACTAACTGAGTCAATGATTAAGGTACTTCTTCCCTTTGTTACTCGAAGTGAAGATGCATAGTGGTTTGTAATGAAACCATGAAATGTTGATCACAAGTTTCTGATACTGTGATATACATACAACGGGTCCTTATTATGAGGCACAACCAGATGTGTTTAAAGAATCTTCCCTTTCCTAATATGACCTTAAATAACTTTTATGAGCAATATGTTTTACAGCTTTCAAGAGGGAAAGTTGGGGGGGGGGGGGGAATTGAGGTGCATTGATAATAGAAAAGTGACTTGTATTTAGGACCACCATAATTTGCCTTACAAAAGGACTAGGAGTATCTATTATGCTAGGAGTATGAGTATGTATTTATGTGTACAAGTCAAAGTTAAAACTTGTTTGTGGGACAGTGGGAGTATGAGTAATTGAGTACAGCACAACTTGATCCCTGGTCTAATATTATAGTTTTCTTGTTCTAAATATGTAGAAGTTGGTATTTTTTTTATATTCCATTTAGTGTGGCTCAACTACTCAAGTTGTTATACCTATATGTGATTCTCAAAACTCCGACCTTGCATTTGCAGTTCTTTTTTAAATTTTGTTGTTGTCTTTCTACTTTGTTTTTTCAATAGTGAAACTTCATTTGCAGTGTGAAGATCCTAAATGCCATGTGTGGCAACATATTAGCTGTGTTATCATACCAGAGAAAGCTATGGAAAGTGGTACGCCATCAATACCCCCTGGAACGTTCTACTGTGAACTTTGCAGACTGAGTCGTGCTGACCCGTAAGTGACATTGCTTCTAGTTATTCTTTTTATTCCACAGTGGTCTAGAATGTTTCAAGTTGTGAATACTAGACCAATAGCGGATAGAGGATTATGACGAATAGCCTAAAAGCGGCAATATAAATATAGCAGATAGCGTTGCAGTAAATAGTGGAAGCATACAGATTAGTTAAACCAAGTTACATATATAATAGTTATATTTAAATATAATACTAGATGTAAGCAGTAAAGTAATAAAATAGATTCTAGTAACATTAAAACATTTTTAAAACTTAAAACTAAATTTAGAATCATAGCACAAAACTAAAATTCGAAGTTTTTTTTAAAATGAAAGTCTTATTGAACTGAACAATAGGCCAATTATGCTGGCAAGTAAAGAAGGGCAAGGGAGTATAGGAGCTATATATGAGAGGTGTTAAAAATAACAGGTAATACATTTCACGGGCAATATTTTAGAGTAGAACTTTCTGGAAAGAAAAGAAGAGTAAAATTTGAAAACGAGAGAGGCGGATAACAGAGGAGGGACGATGGAGGATGGACTCACACGTAATCTTTCTGGAGGTCTGAAGCAAGCACATGTCGCAGACGAAGCAGAGAAGAGGCGAGACCGCTAGAGAGTAGATGTGGAACTAACAATCCCAGGAGTATAGGAGGCTTTTCTTTATATATTTAGATTAAATATAATACAAGCAAGTTGGTTTGATAGTAAAATAGACCAGTTGGGCTTATGGGTGGGCTTTTAGGTTTAGTTAAATTAATAAAAAACTTAAAAAATGGGTCAGTGGAGTAGTTATAAAAGGGTCAATAATTTTGTCCACCACAATCTGCTATAGTGGCAATGCTATGGTGAGTCCACAATGTCACCGCTATATTATGGCAGTTTCCTCAAAATTCGCGATTCCGATCTGCTTTAGCGACGCTATGGCCACTATTTGAAAGCACGGGTTAATACATTTGTAAAATAAGATACAATCATTAAATAGGGTCAAATGCCTTATATCTGAATTATTTAGGGCTTTTTACAAAAATATTACTAAAATAAAACTTATTTACACAAATATGACTAATAGTTACTACAATTTAGTGTCATGGTAACTTAAATTTAAAAATTGAACATAATTTACTATGATTTTATTACTACTCTAGTCACTAGTCACATTTTTGTAAACAATCTTTATTTTGGTCATAAATATGTATTTTTTCAATTATTTAATACGATTTAATTGAATAAGATGAGGACGACAAATAAAGATCAAAAGCCCTTCCATATGGATCATTTAATACAAATTCTAGAATACTCTGCCTGTACTGAATGCTTATAGGATCTTTAATTGAGTTTCTATATGCAGATTCTGGGTGACAATAGCAAGCCCGTTATGTCCCGTGAAGCTGGCTATCACACATGTTCCAACTGATGGGTAGGTGTGCAACCTATACTACTACTAATCATAAAGACATAATGGTTGTATGCTTTTTATTGTTAAAAGTTCACATTTAGTTTGCAGTTGAAAAGCTAACGGTTAGAAGCGGAAAGCTTAAGTGATACAATTTGCTGTTGAATAAGATGGTAAATTTAAGAAAGACATGAAATAGATGAATGAATTACTGTTTTAATGATAGATGGATGGAAAATGACATTTTACTTAAGTACTCCTTAAAACACGTTTTGCACGCTCTCCCCAATTTGAATGGTAAAGTAAATGAATACAAAAATATGATGTAGTGGCTTGAAGTTTTCATTTATGTTTTCAGTTACCTCATCTTGCTCGCCTCACCTACTTTGGAGTAGCTCCATCAACAGGGTCCTTTTTCTTATCTTACTAGTTACCCCATTGCTGCCCTCATTTTTTCTCAGTAATGTGTTCGTGGATAAGCTTTTGATCTACTTTTTGTTTTAGTTTATATCTGAAAAGGTGTAAATCTTCCTTTTCAAAATTAAGGATATCGACAAAACAAAGTAAAGGACACTGTCACCTGTTGATCTTTTAATATTTCACTTTTTGTATAGGTTCTGTGCAAATATGCTATATTCTGAATTTTAGATACAAGCCCTTTTTATAAGTTTTGAGTCCTTAATACTCAATTAATCTGCCAACATCAAGGATTGTTGACCACTGCTTGGGAACATTGCTTTCTACCGTGTTCCTTTACTCATTTTGGATTCAATTTTATTCAGATGCGTGTGAGTTTTTCACCTCAGTTTTCTTTGTTAGTCATATACTGATTTCTGTCATGTGTTCTGCTAGATTTCTAGTGCTGTCATCTTTATCCATTTTCCCCTTGCTCTATCATGAGCTACTTGCCTAGGTCCTCTAATCTTCTAGAAAACAACATTTTAATGCAACGTGTTATGTATTATGCTTTTCTTTTCTAAATTTATCTCAACCAACATCATGGACGTCCAATTTGGTTGTTTCTAGATTTGTCCTTCCTTACATCATGGATACCAATTTTTTTCTTGTTATCTTGTGTGATGCATTCATGATGTTCAATTGCCCTTGAATCTTGTAGCACGAACCCTGTACAAAGTGTTGATAAAACATTTCAACTTACAAGAGCAGATAAGGACTTGTTGGCGAGACAGGAGTATGATCTTCAGGTTTGATAAGATTCCTAATTTATATTTTCCATTTTGTACTGTTTATCTGTGTATCACCTATGGTGAGTGTTTTTTTTAGGCATGGTGCATGCTTCTCAATGACAAGGTTCAATTTAGGATGCAGTGGCCTCAGTACGCAGATCTGCAGGTCAATGGTATGCATTAAATAGATTTATTGTTAAATCATGAAGCTCTACCAAGTTAAGACTTCTCAATTAGCGATAGTATGTTCTGTAGCACTACTGGTTGCTATAGTTGCTTTAATTTAATTATGAGTCAGTCTGACTTTTTCAGAAAAAAATGGTTGTTGCTTTAATTATTTTTGTTGTGCTTCCCCCCAGGTTTTCCAGTGCGGGCAATGAATAGGCCTCCTTCGCAATTGCTTGGAAATAATGGTCGAGACGATGGACCTATAGTGAGTCTCTCTCTCTCTCTCTCTCTCTCTCTCTCTCTCTCTCTCTCTCTCTCTCTCTCCTTTTGTCCATGTACTACTGGGGGGATGTTTCATAATTTCGTACCTGTCACCCTCTCTTCCTATTTCGAGTTACTTGTTTGAATACTGAATTGCATTTGGTCTATTTGTTTGTCTCAGTTATAGCTTTTAACATGTCTCAGATAACAGCATACACGAGAGATGGAATTAATAAAATTTCCTTGACGGGAGGTGATGCTCGTGTATTCTGTTTGGGTGTTAGAATTGTAAAGCGGCGCACTCTCCAGCAGGTACCTCCTATGTTTTTTCTTGTTTTTAAAATGACATCGCCTTCACCTTTTGTTTCATGCAAAGAATAAGTGGTTTAGGGTTTGATGTTTTCGATTGACCATTTTCTGATTATTGAGAGACATTTTTAGTATTTTTTGTTTTTTACTGTTTCACCTGTGAACTTCGAGGCAACCTCTGTACATGTCACTTCTTGTTTGACTAATGTTTTGGTTGAAGATAGTAAGGTTCTCTTGCCTCCTATTCTGCAGTTCCATTGTCTATGTTATATAAAGTCTTTTGAGCATTACATAATCCTCTTCACCTTATATGTCATGAAATTGTCTTTACATCATATTTCAAGATTGGAAGGTGTGATGTGGATGTACCATATTTTACAATGCTCAATTCTTTCTTGTTCATATGCTTTGCTTAATATATTCTTTTAGATTCTTAACATTATCCCTAAAGTGGCGGATGGAGAGTCTTTTGAAGATGCTCTTGCTCGTGTTTGCCGTTGTGTTGGTGGTGGAAATGTCACTGAAAATGCTGACAGTGACAGTGATATTGAAGTTGTAGCTGATTGTATTCCTGTGAACCTCCGATGTCCTGTAAGTATATAAAGTTATTAAGAGTATAATTTGTAATTTGTTAATCGTAAATGCAAACACCACACTACACCTGCTCCCATACTTGTCGCGGTTTCTCCCTGCCGTTGCCTAGTCGCCTAATAGGTGTCCTGGCGGAGGAGGAGTCACCAAGAGCATTCAACTTAACTGGAAGAAGCGTCAATTTGGCGTTGTCCAACTGTCATGGCAACAACCGTATCCATCGTTTTATACATCAAAACATAGCGACCCGATGTCCTGACTTGTGTGCCATGTAAAGTAAAATAAAAACCGTAAGTCTCAGCAAGCGGAACGATTCGGAGAAGTCGATTCATGACGCAAAATCCCTACCCACAGGTCCCTGCAGGTCACAAATGATAATAAACTCAAATTAAGCTGAAATATAGTAAAATGAGTAAAATTTCTTTTTGTCCCACCAGGATGGTTTTGTTGCATATATACTCATAATTGAATGCAGCAATATATATTTATATTTTTCCTTGCATATGATGTTCTCTAGATGAGCGGATCAAGGATGAAGATTGCTGGGAGATTCAAGCCCTGTGTTCACATGGGCTGTTTTGATCTTGAGGTTTTTGTAGAAATGAACCAACGGTCTAGGAAGGTAACTAACTACCCCAAGTAATACTCTATCATCATTTTCTGCTATCAATACCTGGATTTCCTACTCTTTTTTGGTTAGGGTAATATTTTTGAAAATTGTGATGCAGTGGCAATGCCCTATTTGTCTCAAGAATTACACCCTGGAGCATATAATCATTGACCCATATTTTGACCGGATCACATCCAAGGCAAGTGTAGATGAACTAGCGCACATGTACATTTTTTGATACATTTTGACATGGCACATGTTTGTTGAGTGGTGAAAAGCTGTCTTACTTCATCACCCAATAAGCGTGTCCCATGATTATACTCAATATATGTACAAAAAATGTAGATCATCATAGCTTTTATGGCAAGTTCCAGCTATTGTCCAAACTGTGCACAGGGTAATGCTTTGTTTATCTTCTGCTCCCGCCCCCACTCCTTTTCTATGAACAGTTGAGCAAATGTGGAGAAGATGTGACAGAGATTGAGGTGAAACCTGATGGTTCTTGGCGTGCTAAGGTAGAAGGTGACCGGAGGAGTATGGGGGATCTCGGGCAATGGCACTTTCCTGATGGAAATCTTTGCTCGTCCTCTGATGCTACAGAATCCAAACCGAGGCCTGATGTTCTTAAACAGGTCAAGCAGGAAGTTGGTGGTTCTGATTGCCATGGAAATTTTAAATTCGGATGGAAGAAAGATGCTAAAGGTGATTGGATACCCATATCAGGAAACAACAGATTACAGGATAGATTTGAACTGCTTGGACATGATATCATTAGCAGCAGTGCTACTGGAAGTGGGAAAGAAGGAGATGACCCAAGTGTAAATCAGGACGCTAATGGGAATTTCGATTTCTCTACCACTGCAGGACTTGAACTTGAATCGGTTTCACATAATATGGATCCAGGCTTTCGATTTCCTGGGCAAAATCCATCTGCCCCATCTGCCCCAACTGCAGCTGCTGAAGTTATCGTCCTTAGTGATTCTGATGAAGAAATTGAACCATTAATAATGCCTCAAGGAGCCGTCTCTTTCTCGATTAATCAACCAGGAATTCAAGATGCATACACTGAAGAACCACCTTTAGCCAATGAAGGTAATCCAGGAATGGATCATTTTGATGTTGTTACCAATGATAATGACTTTGGGATGCCTATTTGGCCCACGCTTCCCAATGCTCATCAGGGAGGTACTGGATTTCAGTTTTTTGATGCTGACCCTGACGTCTCAGGCTCTTTAGTTGATGTGCAGCATGGCTCCATTAATTGTCCTACAACTGCTAGTGTTAATACCTATGGGTTGATCGCAACAGGTAACACCTTGGGAGGATCTGCTGATGTCATGCCGGAATCTTATGCTGCATTGGATATAAATGACGGTTTAGTCGATAACCCCCTGGCGTTCGGTGGTAATGATTCTCTTCAGATATTTTTGCCCACTAGGCCCTCAGACGCTATTGACATGAGGGATCGGCCAGATGTCTCGAATGGCAGTGTGCGGAACGAGGATTTGATTTCACTTAGGCTCGGAGTTGGAGGTATAGGGACTCATGGCGGTATTGCATCTTGTAATGGATTTAACTCCGTGAATCAGCAATTGCAATCTAAGGATGGTAGTGGCAGCTTGGATTCTTTGGCTGATACTGGTAAGGTTTTTTTTAAGTCTTGGCGGGTATTTCTTCACTTCTAAACTTAAACTTCTGCATTTTATGTCATATTCATCTAAGGATTGAGGATGTTAGATTTTCTTATTTGCTGTGTCCCTCCGTCCCAAAAAAGGTTATGTCTCAAAAACCTCTTCTGTTCCTATGAAAGTTCCATTTGATCAAAACACAGTCAACCTATTATGTAATTTACCAAAAATGTTATAAACAAGGAAAATATGATAATATAGTGATTACAGTCCAACCAACAAATAAATTACAAAAAATACTCCACATCCCAGTTTTGTATTCTTGACTTCTCATTCTGATTATGAGGTTTGGTTAAGGGTAAGCTAAAATTCCCCCACGTAATATGTATATTAGTGTTAGGATTAAAGTTTGCATAGTTAGAAACTGAATTATTTTTTTACTGAAATGCAAAAATTGAATTTGTATATGATAAAAGTCTGATGCACAAAATTAGAGACATCAAAGAAATGAAGAATAGATGGAAACAAATATGGAACTGAGGTAGTATGTTGATTTAAATGACTCAAAGGTGATGTATCATGCCAAAGTAAAATGTTTCTAAAAAATGTAATGAACACACTTATCGACATCTCATGACGATTTCCATGCATGTGGGAATATCATCAGATTTTTCATCTCATTATTGGTTACCAACTTTGCAAATGGAGGGGCATCTGACATTCCACAATGTTATTTTCCTGAATGTGAAGTATCAATTAATTTTATACGATTAATCCCTGTTATAAACTTAATGGTGATGAAAATGGTGATGATGATGAGTTTTTTCCCCTTCAACTTTCTTATTTATGCCCATTCTGAATCCTCGATTGCAAGTGTAATTAATATTTAATCTTCCTAGCCTTGGAATTAAAATGTTATTCTTGCTTGGTACAGCTTCGTTGCTCCTCGGGATGAATGGTAATAAATCCAAGAAGTCAAGAGAAATATCAGATAACCCCTTTGCTTTCCCTCGGCAACGCCGATCTGTAAGACCGAAATTATATCTAAGTATTGATTCAGATTCCGAGTAGAGCAGTAGTAGTAGTTTCTAGTGATTGTGTCACAACAAGCCTAGACCCCCAAATAGGAAAAAGTTAGATGTGAATGCTATTCGATATAATTTTATTAAATGATGTATTTCTTCTGGAAGTTGCAATGTATCTATAAAATGAACGGCCTTATAGAAGATTTGTCTGCCAGAAGATGATCTGAGGAATATCGACAATGCACAAGCCTTAAGCCATAGAAAAGAAACAGTGCCTTACTACTGACAGCTTTAGGAGTTCCTTTACTTGGTAAGCTTTCTCATATTCAGAAATGATTCTAGAGTGATATTTATAGGGAGCACGTTTGTGTTCCCCCATATAGCATAGCTCCCCTGCCAGTTTTCTTATAATTATAGACATGTACCATAACCTTTACTCTTTCTAGCTTATTAGATGATTATTCTGCCACATTTTCTCGGCGGTGAACTGTTTGTACATTTGGACATCTCGTCTTAGCTTTACTACAAATGTAGGATGATGCATCCTATCTCACCTCAGGTGATAATTATAAAACTTTTGACATCCCTCTTGGATGCTTGGAAGTAGTTTTTGAGTCCTGTCGTTTTTGTGCTGTCTGATATCCAATTCGGAGTATGAAAATAGCCTTGTGGAGTTTATTTCTTTAGATAAGATTCTTATTTATTTTTCTACAGACATTTATTCAATTCATATACACAAAGTAAAAACTTCATTTCGAAACACTTGCCTTTAGCGTTGTGTTTCCTTCTCATTTTTCTTGAGCTCGGGAATTAATCATTTACATAATGCACGACAAAACTGAAAAACTATTGCATTGATTCAATCATTTCAATGAGTTCTGTACCCCCATACATATATTACTATGTATGCCTGTCACTTGGGAGTTGGGATGCTTTTTATTGAACTTAAATTTTCTGGTTTGGTCCGATTAAGTCTGGTATGGTCTGTTTATGTTTGGTCTAGTCTGGAAGTGAAAAAAGTCCAAGAAAAAACATCTTTAGATTCAAAATTACATTCCAGTAAAAGTTAAATAATAAAGATCGTTCAATCGTTTAAGGGATGATATTGTATAATTCACTTCAATAAGCAAAATATACTAATATAGGTTGTGACTTGTGAGGTTACTGTGCCTAGTGAGAGGTATCGAGTTTGAAACCCGCTAGGCACATAATGGGTTCGAAACTCCAGGTTCCCCAGCCCCCTCCCCCAGACCCCCTGAAGTAAAAAAGAAAAAAGAAAAAAAAGAAAAATATACTGATATAGGTTATATAGGTCTACCAAGTTGTTATCTATTGAACTTTGATCGAAGTGATTGAAGTTGTTTGGTTTGAGCAAAGTTGTTCAAGTTATGGTTAAAGTGATTAAGTTTTCTGAATATTCACAAATATTGTTTAAATATGTTCACACTTCACACTAAAGAGATTAGATACAGAAATTAATAAAATAATAATGTTGTTCACAAGTGTAACTTGTATTATTCGTAGTTGGTAGAACGCAGACAATGCAGTAATGTTACTTAGTCATGGACCCAGGCCGGGCCCGGCCGGGCTTTTTTTTGGGAAGGAAGGCCCGGGACCAGCCCGGGTAGCCACCGGGTCCGGTCCGGGCCGGGCCGGGCCGGGCCTCCGGTTCATTCATAATTTTTTTTTTGCTTTCCTAACCCCCCCACTCACCCCCCACCCCCAAACCCCAATCCCCTCCTAACCATCAAGCCCAACCCGGCTAACCCCAAAAAATGAAAAAAAATTTAAAAAAATCAATTCGGCCCAGGCCCGGGCCCGACCCGGCCGGGCCGGTTCGCCAAATACAAGGCTCGAGCCCGGACCCGCCCCCCCACCGGGCCTAGGCCCGACCCGGACCCGAGAACCGGGCCGGTTCCGGGCCCGCACAGTGGCGGGCCGGGCCGGTCCCGGGCCGGGCGGCCCGAACCGGGTCCATGCCTAATGTTACTACGTCAAAAGTTTGAGTTCGATTCGCAAATTCCATAAATGATAAATTTTGAGTTGGAGACTTATAGGTGAAATGATGTAAAAGTGGGTGCAACAAAATAAATATGGGTTCCCTTAAACCTCTGATCCGGGTACCAGGTTGGTACCGGTTGTTCGGTCCCAGGTCGGTACCGGTCGTCCGGTCCCAGGTCGGTATCGGTCGTCCGGTCCCGTTAGGCTTGGACCCGGTTCGGGCCACCCGGCCTGGGATCTGGCCCGGTCCGGCCCGGGAACCGGGAACCGGTTCTGGGTCTAAGCCCGATTTGGGGTGGGTAATCGGGTCGGGTACGGGCTTAGGTAAATGGGAACCGGCCCGGCTGGTTCCGGGCCCGATTCGGGCTACCCGTTTTTTTTGTTGGTTTCGGGGCTTTGGGCTGGGTTTAAATGGGTTGGAATGGGTCTTTCAGATGGGTTTGTGGGATGGGGGGAGGGGGGGGTAGGGGACAAAAATAATCAAGAAAAAAAAAAATTATAACTGGACCCGACCCGGGCCCGGACCGACACCGGTCTACTTCCGGGCCGGTCCCGGGCCTAACAGAACCGGTGCCGGGCCCGGACCGGCACCGGTCTATTTCTAGGCTCGACTCGGGCCCGGAACCGGTTGAGTCCATGACTAGTCCCAGTACCGGACGACCGGACCTATACAGTACCGGGTCGGACTAACTCGTCTCCCTTCGTCCCTAGTTGCGTTCCAAACTTTCTTGAACAAAATGGTCAAAAGATTAGTTAAAAGGAATTGTTGATTTCTTTTGATGACTTATATTTTTTAGTAGGTTGAGGATAGGAAACAAAACATCCCTTTGGTTTCCACGGTTTTATTTGTAGCTCGTTTTGAAGGAACTTGACATTTAAGGGGTGTTTAGATCTGTTTCTTAAAACTATTTCTACTTCTTCGAAAAGTAGAAATAGATATTGGAGTGTTTAACTGAAAGTGCAGAAGTACTTCTGGTGCTTCAAGTGGTTCCTAGAAGCAGTCATTTAGAATTAGAAGGAAGGGGTGACATCGCCAGAAGCGTTTTGAACATCAAACACAATCAAGAACCAACTTGTACAGACGGTCAAGTTAGAGCACCCCCAATCTGGTCTTTTCTTAGAAACTGTTCTCTTCGTCTTAATCTTATTACTTATTCCTTATTTTTATTTTATTCAGATCAGATTAGAAAAATTCAGATCAGATCAGAAAGATTCAGATCAGACCAGATTAGATCAAAAAGATTCAGATCAGATAAAAGAGATTCAGATCAGATCAGATCAGAAACATTCAGATCATATCAGATCAGAAAAATTCAAACATGATTTATCATTTTTATTATTATATTAATTATAATTATTACTATTATAATTATTGTTAATAATATTAATAGTAATATATAAATATAATAATAAGAATAATAATATAATAATATTAATAATAGAATTATTATTATTATTATTATTATTATTATTATTATTATTAGTAGTAGTACTATTATTAGTAGTACTATTATTAGTACTATTATCATTACTATTACTATTACTGTTATTATTACTGTTATTATTACTGTTATTATTGCTATTATTATTACTATTATTATTACTATTATTATTACTATTATTATTACTATTATTATTACTACTATTACTACTACTATTACTACTATTATTACTACTATTATTACTACTATTACTACTATTATTACTACTATTATTATTACTATTATTATTACTATTATAATTACTATTATTACTACTATTATTACTATTATTACTACTATTATTACTACTATTATTACTACTATTATTACTACTATCATTACTATTATCATCACTATTATCATCACTATTATCATCACCATCATCATCACCATCATCATCACCATCATCATCACCACCACCATCATCATCATCATCAGCATCACCATCATCATCATCATCATCATCATCATCATTATTATCATTATTATAATATAATATATTAGTAATAATAATAATAATAATATAATAATAATAATATAACAATAGTAATAATATTAATATTATTATTATTATATAATAATAATAATAATAATAATGTGATTATTATTGTTATAATAATAATATAATGTATTATTATAATATTATTACTGTTATCATATAATAATATAATTAATAATTATAATAATAAATATAATTATAATTATAATAATAATAATTATTATTGTTGTTATTTTTGTAATTATTATTATACGGAGTAAGTATATTTCTATTTATAATTATAGTTATAATTTTAATTACAGAAATAAATATTATAATTATTATTACAATACTATTTATATAAGTAATTATAATTAAAAATATAATTACATTTATAATTGTATCTATAGTTATAATTAGTGCAATCTGTATAATGATTATAATTTTATTTAAGTTATATTTGTAATTACAATTATAATTATAATAATTATAATTATAATTACAATTATAGAAATATTCAAATCAGATCAGATCAGAAAGATTCAGATCAAATCAGATTAGAAGAATTCAGACCAGATCAGAAACGTTCAGATCAGACCAGATCAGAAAGATTCAAATCAGATCAGAAAGATTCAGATCAGATCAGAAAGATTAAGATCAGATCAGATAAGAACTTAAAAAATTCAGAAACATTCAGATCAGGTGAAGAGAACAACTTCATAAAAGTTTAGTCACAGACTGATTATTTATACCTACAAGGCTACAATGTTGGTAGTTTGCTGATCTGACAAAATAAAAACTAAACAATGTGAAGAGGGATGTGTGAGTGTAGAAAGGCGTATACACTTGTCGAGTCAATAAAAAATGGCGCAAAGGGAAATGAAAATAGCAGAGGGAAATGAAAATAGCAGAGGGAACTGAAAAATAAGAGCAAAAAGCACATCCACTAGTTTTTTTGATACTCAGAGTTTTACTTCAGAACTACCGTACCGAGTCCGCCGTTTGAGGTGATTTTTAGTGGTTTTTTGATGAAATTTTGTGAGAATGTTTTTCATGAAATATAGATTATGCCCACAAAATTTCGATTTAAAATTCATTCGGGAAGTCAATTAAATAAATTATTGAAAAATACTGTTTTTTTATATTTATAAAATGCGCAATTGTTTTTTAATACGAATGATACTTTATATATAGGGCTTGGGTACACACGCGCGCGCACACACACAGAGAGTGGTTCCAGTGAGAAAGGACTCCCATGAGAGAAATGATAATGAATCTGGTCCGTTGGATTGTATTACGTGAAATTGAATTGTGCATTTAGTAAAAGTAAAATGTGCATTAAGTGAAATTGAAATGTGCAGAATGAAAAGTAAAACTCAAATGTGCATTACGTGAAATTGAAATGTGCAAAATAAAAGGAAAAAAAATGGTACCGTGCCGTAGTTTTTATTCTGCACATTTCAGTTTCACTTAGTGCACATTTCATTTTCCTTAATGCACAATACAGCTTTACATAATACCACTGTGAGTTACCTTTTGTGCTGCACATTTCGATTTCACCCTAAGAGCATCTCCAATGCTCTAATGTGCACGGTGCACATGTGGCATGAGTCATAGCCACATAAATATTAGCAAATAAATTATTTCTCTCCTTATTTAAAT